AAGAAGACTGGCCCAGGTTGGGCCAGCCCTTCATTTTGAAGGCCTGGGGCAGCCACTGGAATCTGAGGTGATTCTGTCTCCATGGAAGTCTCCAGCTCCCTAAGGATGGAGCCAATGGTGGTGGAAAGGGAGAAATCTTCTTCGCCCAGAAAGAGGGGTTCAGGGGGTAGGGCCGGAGCTGGGGACAGATGAATGGCAGCCTGGAGCTGTTGCAGGGTGTTGTGGATGAGGACATGCCTACGGAGGCTGGGAGCTCGGGGACCCAGGCTTTGCTGGACTTTGTCTAAGGAGATTCGGAGCAAGGCCTGGTGATAGCTCTGAAGGCGTGCTGGGCTGCAGTCCCATTTCTTTTCCTCCTCTTCCTCATCTAAGTCCGAGTGTTTCCTCTTCAAACCTCCCACCATGATGCCCTGTGGAGAGACAAATGACAAATAAGGCATAATAGTGGCCTGAAATCGCATTTCTCAGGCAGGCCTGTAGAGCTGCAAGTGATTTTGTCTCTGTGTGTGTGTGTGCACCAGTCTTGGGACTTAAACTCAGGCCTGGGCACTATCTCTGAGCTTTTTTGCTCAAGGCTGGTGCTCTAACACTTGAGCTACAGCTCCACTTGGGACTTTTTGGTGGTTAATTGAGATCAGAAGTTTCACATACTTTCCTGCCAGGGTTGGTTTTGAACTGCGATCCTCAGATGTCAGCCTCCTGAGTAGCTACGATTAAAGGCTTGAGGCACCGTTGCCCTGCTGTCTCGTTCTTGGTCTTAACTGACTGGGAGCGCACCCAAGAGCAGGGAAGGAGCCGCCTTCCTCATTCCTTCCAACAGCGCCTCTGATTTCCCTAAAGTGCGCCCCAAAGGAAAGCTTGCTAGATCTCAACTAGCGCCAAGCTCCGCCCCCTCACGGATCACCCAACCAGACCTCGGCGTCCCAGAGGCCCCGCCCTCCCCCCGATAGCTATTGAGCATCTAGGACCGCCCCCACTTGCCCCGGCGGCTTCTGGGAAATGTGGACCCACAGTAGCTCGGCACGCACAGTGACGTGAACAGGCACTACAATCCCCAGGGGGCTTTGCTCTTCAAGGGGACGGAGTTCCCCCGCCCCCACCGCGGAGCAGGCGCACTAGGCTCCTGGCTGGTGGGGGGAGGGGAACCCGGACGTCCAGCTGCCGGGCGCCAGCTGAGCCCCGCCCTCTATTGCCTCCGGGGCTGTGGGTCTGAGCTCCACGCCCGGAACACCCATCCCCCACCCGACTCCAGCTCTAAGACTGCTTTCACCCCGTCTCTACAATCGCCCCAAGGTCCAGGATTCTTCCCCAAACGGCGGTGGAGTCTAGAAACCCGGGCTCTCCTCAGTTTGTTCCAAGTTTTCTGATACAAATGCTTTTGTAGGGGCAAGACTTAGTATCTCAATTCTGAGATTTTCTCCCCAACCCCTATTCTCCGACTATTTTCCTATTCTCCGACTACACGACACCCCTAGATTTCACCTCCAAGTGCCACGTCCGGCAGCTGAGACCCTCCAACACTGAACTCTTTCCCGGCATACACCCCCTGCCACGGCGTCTGGTGAAGAGTCTGGGGATTCCACAAGTCTCGGGATTGTCTAGAAATGCTCGAAACCCCAGCCTTAAACCTCTTACAGTTTTCCCAGAACCATCACGAAGTTCCCAATCCAGGCCGTCCCGAGAAGAGCCGAACTGTCCCATTAAATTCTTTGCTCTCCAAAAGTTTCTTCCTCTGATTCGCTCTCGTATCCAAACCCGCTCCCCTCGCCAAAGCGCAACTCTAAACTTCCTCCAGTTCAAAAACCTTTCTTTGCCTCCCCTTTGGGATCTCGAACTCAAGTCTCCTCCGGTCCTTAGCCCTCAAAACCGCATCACTCAAGCTTAATAAGGAGCGTCCTCTACTCCGGCTCAGACTCCTCCTTCGCCCGTCCCTTCCCGCCCCCAACCATAGGTAAATCCCACTCCTCACCACAGCCTCCAGGTTCGCAACCACCACCTCCACGGACGCCGGCCAGACGAGCGTCCGAACAGAGCCGAGTAGAATCCTCGCTCACCTTCCTTGGGCCTCCGAGTCTCGGCCTGAACCCATCCAGCCCCGCCCCGGAGCTGGACCGCCACCTGCGATTGGCTGGAATTCTGCCCAGGGCCGGGGGACGATTGGCTGGGCGGAGCCGCCGCCCGACGCCCGGCACCGCCCTCCCTGCCTGCCCCTCCCTAACGCCCGGGACCATTTAAAGGATTTTTGACTTGTCAGGGGCCGGGTTAAGTCTCTGGGCTGGAGGATGGCGAGGCCATCAGAACGTTTTTTTTCCTTCTGCCGGGCGCCGGTGGCTCCTGCCTGTAAACCTCGCTACTCAGGATCTGGCGATCGTGGCTCTGAAGCCAGCCCAAAGAACCATCCAAAAGCCGGAAGTGAAGCGGTGGCTCAATCGGTAGAGTTCCAGCCTCCAGCGAAAAGCTCAGGGAAGGCGTCCCAGGCTCTAACTTCAAGTCCACGACGGACACACACACACACACACACAGAATCTCTTTTATTCGGCTAAGATTCCTGCCACATAGAGCTCTCTCTCTCTCTCTCTCTCCTTGGGCTGAACCTCATCTGGAAGAAGGAAGGGTGGCACTCCCCACCCCCACTCGGCGTCTCCCCCCCCCCCCCGCCCCCGCCGGCTTCACAGCAGGGCGGGGCTGAGCAGCCGGAGCAGGCCACGCCCCCGGGTTTCCCGAGGCGGGCGCTTGGGAGCGGAAGGTGATGACGCACTAAATACCAGCCAATAGTATGGCGCGGCCTCTGTTGCTTGGCGACCTCAGCCCCGCCCCTCTTAGGCTCTGTGCACCCGCTGTAGGAACCCTGTTTTAAGGTTGGTTGGTGGTTTCTCTGCGCGTTTTCTGGTGGTCCCTCCCGGATAGCCACTCTGCAGCTGGAAAGTTTTCATGACTCCCCACCACTCTGGAAATAAAGTTCAAAGCCTTTGTTTGTTTGTTTTTGAAACGAACTGTTTCAAAGGGCCAGGCTGGCCCTTCCATTTTCCCAACTCCACCCCTGAGTGCTAGGATTATAGTAGCACCACTACCCTTGGCTCAAACTTCTTACTTTCCCCTGGAAGCCTTTCAGGATCTGGCCAGAGACGCCTGCCACTATAAAATTCACTGGCTATAATCCTGGCTATTCCAGAGACTGAGATCTGAATATCCCGGTTCAAAATCAGCCTGGGCAAACATTAGGATTCCCAGATTTCTAGTTTCAATTAACCAGCAAAAAGTGAGCCAGGAGCAGGTGGCTCTAAAGATCTCCTCTGTGATCCTATCTACTCACAAGGCTGAGGATCACATGTTCGAAGCCAGCCCAGGACAGGAAAAGCCAGAAGATTTTTTTTTGGGGGGGTGGGGTCCGGTCGTGGGGCCTGAACTCTGGGCCTGGGCACTGTTCCTCAGCTCTTCAGCTCAAGGCTATCGCTCTACCACTTGAGCCACAGCACCACTTCCAGCTTTTTTCTTTTTTCTTATGTGGTGCTGGGGAATCAAACCCATGCAAGGTAAGTGCTCTACCACTGAGCCACCTTCCCAGCCCCCAAGCCAGAAGATTCTTTTTTTTTTTTT